CCAGGTGCAGTTGGGGAGGGGACAGCGTAGCGAGCCAGCAGCCCTGACAGGTTGCCTGCCTTGGCACACCGCCGTCCCTCAGCCCACACTGCTCCGGTTTCCTGTCTCTCCCTCCTCCTGTCCCAGGACCCCACATGACGTCCACGTCCCCTGGCTCCTCCGGGCTGTGACAGTGTCTCAGACTTCCTGTGTGACGAGCCGGGCAGCCCTCTACTGGAAGTCCGTTCCCCACCTCAGGGCTGTGTGCCGGTGCCTGGCCTCTCCCTCAGCGCGCCCCACTCCTGGCGCAGGCTCAGAGTGGCTCCCACTGCACAGAGGAGGGTGTGGGGGCTCTGGGGCCTGGTCTGTGCTGCGTCCTGGGAGACAAAGCGCGCTGGGCGGGGAGCCCCTGTGCTCGTCACAGCAGATCAGCACGCGCTGGGCACGTGGCATCACCACGGTGCCGACCAGAGTCACCCGGCAGGTAGTTCTCACGTGTCCTCGCCCGAAAGGTGTCCTATCTCCTCCCTCCCACTCAGGAGTTTTTGCTTGTTTTTGTTTCGTTTTTTTAGTGAGTTTCTGTCTTTGCTCCACGAGTGAGAGACAGATAGCATCCCTAACAGGGTCTCACCCCCGGGCACCCAGCCTGGGATCACGGGCACGCCTGGGCCTGGTGGACTCAGGGTGGCCCCTATGAACCCAGAGCCTTCGCCTGTGGGCCAGCCTCACAGTGTCGCGTCCTACTGCCGCACCTCTGCCAGCCTTCATACCCGGTCTCAGGACGAGGTCACTGTGTCCTGCCCATGCGTAACTTATTCAGGGTTCTCCCACTTGGCGGAATTGCCTCCTTCCCCACACGCAGGTACCAGACCCCTTCCTTCCCCAGCCTGGGGTCAGCACTCCCGTCTCACACCTGGGGCTGGAACGTAGCACTGCTCCGTGGGCTCTGCTGCCCGCCTGCCAGCCTCGGCCTGGGGCTCCAGGTCCCTCTGACCAGCACTGGGGGCGGGGGGGGGGCTGCAGCCCCTCCTCACTCTAGCTCACGAGGTGCTCCCGGCTCAGCATGCACGTTCCCTGCAGCCGAACTAGCCCCTCTCCAGGGAGCCGGGCCCCATCCCCCAAGAACGGGTCAGAGGGCAGGATCTGGGTGCGGGTGGCCTGCTGCTGGTGCCACTGCTTCCAGCCCGCTCTGCCGGCAGAGCAGGGAAGCAGGTCCACCCCACGTGCACCTAACACGCCCGCGCCTGCTCCTGCGGTAACAGTGTCCGCAGAGGAACGCGCATTCTCCCTGACACGACAACCTTGACCCCACCGCATAAAGCATTCCGAGGTGAAGAAATGCTCCCGTAGAGAGAAGGGCCTGGGTGCGCCCCTGCCAGGCTCTCCACGGGACGTCCACCTGACTTCTCCCTCCCCTCACTCCGGGCCTAGCTCAAGCATCCACAGAGAGGCTGCCTGGCTCCCCAGGCAGAGGGAGGCTGCTCCACCCTGAGGGCCCACACTCCCGACTGCTCCTTGGCTCCTTCTGTGTGGGGCCGCAGCACAGCTCACCTCACTCCAGGCGCCCAGGCTCCTCGCCCCTCCGCCCTGCGGGACTGACCTCCTGTCCTCCACACACACGGTCCTCACAGGCTGGCTGCGCTGCTGCGGCATCTGGGGCTGCCCAGCACGAGGCCACACGCATGGCTTCCTCGTCACACGTGCACGCTCCAGCCTGCGAGTGGACAGTGCCGGGAGGGCAGGACCCCAGCACCGGTTCTGTGTGGTGGTGCCCAGCACAGCGCCTGCACAGCCCAGGCACCAGGCTCGTTTCCGAGATGGGCACCTGCCCTGACTGCAGTCCAGCTGCTGACCAGAGACCGGGAGGCATGGCCCAGGCACATTCGATGCGGGCCAGGTCCTAGCACAGGGACTATGACACCAGCCCAGGCTCAGGTGGCGGCTCGGGGACTCTGGCTGCCCTGTGCCCGACTTGTGGAGAGCAGGGTTACTCTGACTCACCAAGGAGCAAGAGCACGCATGCCCGAGTCCCGGCTCTGCCATGCCAGCGCCAACCCCGCAGGGGAGGACTGCCTGACTCCTCGTGCATCCCCTTGCAGGGCATTCGTGGTCACATCTGCTCCTCAGGACAACTGCGTACAAGGGCCACTTCTCTGTGTGGTCGCTGCCTGCCTGACACAAACAGCAGAGGCACGAACACGGCCCGGGGCCCTCGCTGGAGGCGGCGGCTGGGGGCTGCATCCAGGGAGGCGCTGTGCTGAAAGCTGCGACTGCGGGCACACCCCCACCGTGCCTGCACCTTCACCCTTAGGAAGCAGCAGCTCTCAGAGAAGGACCCTGCTCGTGGGGTTCCAGAGCCCACCACGTCCTCCTCTATGTGGGAACCCCAGGCAGGGAAGTCTCAGAGTTCAACACCAGGAGCTGGGCATGGTGAGGGCGGAGGAGGAGCCAAGAGGGTGAGCCAGAGGCCAGCTTCTCCCAGGCTGCCCAGGTGCCCGAGCTGCCCTGGTCCATCACCCCCAGACAGCAATGTCCCTGGGTACCTCACTGTCAGACCCAGAGGAGCAAGTCCAGCTCACCACACCGGCCCAACACATGGCACGTGCCACGGCGCTCGGACAGAAGCCACCACGCGATTGCTCTCAGTCACTCGCTTCAAATCCGAGCCCTGCATGGCCACTCAGGGTAGACCCCCGGCAGGTCAGAGCACGGCCTGTGGGGCAGGGGAGTGGGGTGGGAAATGATGGATCCAGAACTACTAACTCCGCTGTCTGGCTGCAGACCAACCAGAGGGAACCAGGCCTGAGGCTTCCCTCATTCAGGGTATGTGCCTGGAGGGGACACTGCGCCCTTCTACAGCTGTGGGGAGAGAGCATGAAGCCGGCGTCCAAGTGTGACAGAGGGCCCTGCAGCTGCTCAAGAGCTGGGGCCCTGCTAGAGTGGGGACTGCCAGCCCCTCCTCCATCCATGACCTCACCACTCCCAGAGCATATCCCCAGGGAGCAAGGACCGGCTCTCCTTTGTCTGGACGTTTCTGGACTGTTGGTGCCTCTTCAGCACCTTTTCCTAAGGTAACGCGCAGCACTGCCCTTGCCAGCGTCTGAGACAGGGACAGGGCTTTTTAATAACTTTTGGTTGACACATGTCCCAAGAAGATTTTAAGCCACCTCGTAAAGGGTTAAAGAGTTGCTAAAACCTGCAATGGCCCAGCTAATAAACACCCCAGTTTAGGGGAGAGTAATCACCCAATTGCTAGCCTATGATTACTATGTATTTTCATTGCCAAAAGATGCAATACAATTTCATGGTTACTTGGCCCTGTAAAATAGAAATACCCCCAATTTTTAAGATATGAAAAGGTTTATGACCAGGGTACTGTCAGTTCAAGAATGAGTTCATGGTGCAAATGAGTCAATTCATGACGAAATTTAATTTCAGGAAAATTAACTCAATAAAGATGCCACGATTGTGCTTAAAGTTTTAATACCTATTAGGAGTTTTAGCGAAGTGGCACAGGACCATGGAAGAGCCGATCCATTTTCTGGCTCCTCAAAATGCGATTGACTTAATACCTAATTTATTCATAATGGGGACGGTATCACAAGGAACTCTGTGTTTAATGAGGGGGGCCTGAGTCTTGAACGGCCTAACCAATCACAAAAATGGAGAGCGTTTGCAATTTACGGGATATTAAGTTTTGTTTCCTGTAATACTACGGAGAGTCGATCAATAGCTCTAGACTGACAGCCACTTTAAGCAGACAGCCGGGGAGGTCGCGTGCTCCAGCGAGAGTTACCGGCCAGAAACGCTGGTGCTGCCAAGGTCCTAGAAAGGGAAGACCAAAGTGGGGCCGGAGTCCAGACGGCAACGGCAGCATCTGACTGGTGAACAACTGCTGTGGTGGCGTTGGGGCCACGTCAAACACGTGGCTGCGAGGAAGGCCCTGGGACCCCATGCCACTGAGGAGCACACTGACCACAACCAGCATCAGGAACGGGTTCTGGGGCCTGTCAAGGTGCCTCACAGGAAGCAAGCTCGGGGTCACAGAGCACGGATGGACACCCAGCAGGCCTGCCCTGTGGGAGGCACCATCGTCACCACGCAGAGCCAGGATCTATGGGAGGGGCTGAGGCCCTTAGGGGCCACCTCCTCTTACCATCCCCACCATTTCCGAGCCTAAGGTGCCAACACTGGAGCCCAGTCCCAGGCCTGGGGCACAGGCTGCCTGGTCATAAAGCTGACTTCTCCGGAGCCCTGGCCCAGCTGCCCCTGCCAGAGCTCCGCAGGCGGCCCGCTCCCCACTCCCCGCTCCCTGCTCCCCACTCCCTGGCTGAGTGGAGAGCCTGCCCTGGAAGTGTGAGGACAGAAAGCAGCCCTGTCTTTCTAGCACTCCACAGATTTGATGCTTAATCCCACATAATGGGGCCGCTATTTGCAATGATGATGAAAGGCTGGAGCGTAAACCCCCCCACAGCCAGCCTCCGCTTCAGCAAACATCTCAAACAAAATGAAAAGGTGCTAGAATAAGCAATGGGACACTCGGGGGAACAAAGGTGGCTTGTTCCAGAAAACTCAATCTCCTGAAGAAATGAATTTCATCAAAATTGGTGGAGAGGAGAAAATTTCATATTGCAGTGGATCTGCCTATGGTTTTTTAAAAATCTTTATTATAAGTAACTCAAAACACAGACAATGTGTGAATCCAGACTGTAGGTTTTTTTGGCAGAAGTAGCTCAACCTTACAGAGGAGTCACAAGTATTCTCACTACGCTCCTGGGAGGCTGCTCGGAATGCAAATTGCTAGCAAGTCCTGGGAATGCTGTCACCATGTTGGAATGAAATCCAGCTGCAAACAGAATGGTTGAAAGTGCCTTCCCATTTCACATCTAGTCAGACGACAATGCCAAAACGGACTTTTAAACGGCCCCTGTCAGCCAAGAGGACGCTTCGCAAAACCCAATGCAGCAGCCAGGCCAGGGAAGGCACAGGGATGGCGTAGGTGGGTCTCAGGGAGAGCTCACCTGGTAGGTGTCCCATAGGCGGATGGTGCAGTGCAGGGGCACCTCCCTCATCAGCAGGTTGTTCATCCAGCGGAAGGCAAACTGCAGGTATCGCACCTCGTGCTGGTCCAGGTGTCGGTGAACTTGCTCTGTGGGAAAAAGACACAGGCCCAAGACTGTCAGGGAGCATTCTGCAGGGCCACCGACAGCCTGGTCGTCTATTCCCAAGGCCTCTGCCTGCCCTAGAACCCCACTCCAGCAGCCAGGAATCCCACATGGCAGCTTCCAAGGAGTGAGGAACTGATTTCTAGTAACATAAGTTGTTGTAGGTCATTCTGCTTTAAGGGAAATAGTGACAGTGGTGGTGGTGGTAACGGGGATGACGGTGCTGATGGGGGTGATGACGGTGATGGTGGTGGTAGTGGTGGTGCTGATGGTGATGCTCATGGTGACAATGATAGTGGTAGTGATGGTGGTAGTGGAGGAGGTGGTGGAGGTGGTGATGGTGGTGGTGGTGGAGGTGGTGGAGGTGGTGGTAGTGGAGGAGGTGGTGGAGGTGGTGATGGTGGTAGTGGAGGAGGTGGTGGAGGTGGTGGTAGTGGAGGAGGTGGTGGAGGTGGTGGTGGAGGTAGTAGGAGGTGGTGGTGGAGGTGGTGGAGGAGGTGGTGGTAGTGGAGGAGGTGGTGGAAGAGGTGAGGGAAGTGGTGGAGGAGGTGGTGGAGGAGGTGGTGGAGGTGGTGATGGTGGTGGAGGTGGTGGAGGAGGTGGTGGAGGTGGTGATGGTGGTGGAGGTGGTGGAGGAGGTGGTGGAGGTGGTGATGGTGGTGGAGGTGGTGGAGGAGGTGGTGGAGGTGGTGATGGTGGTGGAGGTGGTGGAGGAGGTGGTGGAGGTGGTGATGGTGGTGGAGGTGGTGGAGGAGGTGGTGGAGGTGGTGATGGTGGTGGAGGTGGTGGAGGAGGTGGTGGAGGTGGTGGTAGTGGAGGAGGTGGTGGAAGAGGTGAGGGAAGTGGTGGAGGAGGTGGTGGAGGAGGTGGTGGGGGTTGTGATGGTGGTAGTTAGGATTTCTTCACTACATCAGAGCCCATCTGCCTTAGTGTGGGTTTCCTCAGAAGCAGGCTCTGAGGCATGGATTTGAGAACAGGGAAGTGGAGAAGCAAAGACAATACGAGTAGGTGAGTTGAGAGGTGAGTCAGGGAAGTAAGGGCGGAAGAACCAGTGAAGGATGTGCTGTCAAGCATGCTACCCTAGTGTCTCACCTTGCCCAACAGACAGGGACCTGGAATACTGATACCCCAGTTCTCATTAGTCATGAGTTGAACATTGCTCCTGGGGACGTTGATTCCTGGCTTTGATGGCCTGCATGGGCAGCAAAGTAGCTTCTACTGGCAAGAGAGAATCCTTAGGCAAAGAAATGTAGGACTGGCAAATGGAAGTTGGGTGGGTGTATGCTGAAGTAAGGAGAGTGAGGGGCTTTAGGTGCATACAGACAGGGTCCGAAATAGTCACGCACACCGTGGAGTTGTGATCACTTGTACTCCTGATCGTTTTCTCCTGAGTGGAGGAGGAGGTGGTGGGGGTTGTGATGGTGGTAGTGGAGGAGGTGGTGGAGGAGGTGATGGAAGTGGTGGAGGAAGTGGAGGAGGAGGTGGTGGGGGTTGTGATGGTGGTAGTGGAGGAGGTGGTGGAGGAGGTGATGGAAGTGGTGGAGGAAGTGGAGGAGGAGGTGGTGGGGGTTGTGATGGTGGTAGTGGAGGAGGTGGTGGAGGTGGTGGTGGTGGTGATGCTTGTAACAAGAGCTCACATGTACTGTGTGAATGCCACACTTCAGACACTTACTCCCCAAACCTAGGAGGATGAGCATGACCAGTCCTGCCGTACAGGAGAGAACACTGGGTCCAAGAGAGCCCAGAGTCCGTGGGGAGCTCATAGCAGAGCCCACATCTGTCTGGCTCCAGGGCTCTTTCCCCTGACCCAGGATGATGTTCTGAGAGGGGCTTAAAGGGGTAGGGAGAGAAGTTAAGAAGGCTCTCAGAGCCCTCGACCTCACGGAGGACCTCTGTCCCCAGGCCCAGGTGTACTGTGGACCAGGGCCTGTGGGTTCAGGGACAGGGCCCCCATGCAGACAGCTGGGCCCCTGGTAGAACCAGGCTTTAGCAAGCACCAGCCCCTTCGGCCTGAACCCACATCACGACGTGATCCTTTCTTCTCGTCCAACATGAGACCCTCGACCATCTACACGTCAGACCCCTGCTCTGCCTGCCCAGGCCCTCTGCCCAGTTGTTGGCACCTGCAGGGATGGGCAGCAGAACAGGGGGAAGCTCCAGGTCTGTGAACCCCTGGGGGTCCCACCCTGGGCGGCAAGGCTGCTGCTGGCTGTGCTGGTGCCCACACTGAGGCTTTCAGGAGCCACAGCTCTACTCGGAGAGCCAGAGGTGGTGCTGCCCTGGGGACAGCAGACTGCAGCCCAAGGGGTCCAGGCTGGGACTGCGGGCGTTCTCACATTGATTCTTTTTTTCCTAACTGCCAGAGGGCACGTGAGCTTGCCAGAGACAGAGAAGGGAGGGAAAAAGCGCCCTCCAATGGAGCGTGGTCACACTGCAATCCCTTCTCCATTTTTCCATTCTGTCGAGATTTGGGGCATGTAAACACGTGTCCAGAGTGTTTTTCAAGCTCCTGGATTGGAATTCAAACCAAGGTTGGCCATGTGGGGTCTGGCTCCCTTCACCACTAAGCTACAGGGCCAGCCCTGATTTCTCCTTTTCTAAACCAGGGCCCACCCAAGGGTTCTAGGCCCTCCTTCTGAAGGCCTGCTTTGAGCTCATTTCTCTCTCGCCACACTTACTGCCACTGGCCTGCCCAGAGGACGGACCTGAGAAAACATCACAGCATTTTCCATTTTTCCCACCGAAAGTTCTACAAATGGCAAGCACACAAATACCAGAGCGCAGCACCCTGCGTTCTGCTCATGCGTCTCCGCCTCAGTCTCTGATCCCTTGCAATATTCAGGACCCGTGATTTCCCATCACGTAAACCAGAGACCGTCCTGCATCGTTCAGCGGGTCAGGCAAAAACACAGGGCCGGCTGGTCTCCAGCTGCTGTGACTAGGAGCTGCTCGGACCTCCAGAAGAGAGGGCCGGGTGATGGGGGCTCTACCAGGCCAATCTGGGACAGCACCAGCAGCTCTCATCCCATGCCAAGAAGCCACCTCCTCCTTTTCTCTGCTCTCACTGTCATTCCTCCCGAGTACTGGTGTCCTCCACAGATCAGGGGACTTGCAGGGCTAGAGGGAGGGGTGACCACTGCTGTCCTCCACAGACCGTGGGACATTCTGAGGTTGGTGAAGGAATCACTGGTGTCTTCCGCAGACCACCAGATGCTCTAGGCCTGGGGGGGAGTCGTGACTACCACTGTCCTCCGCAGACCACAGGATGCTCTAGGCCTGGGGGGAGTGACTACTGCTGTTCTCTGCAGACTACAGGATGCTCTAGGCTTGGGGGGAGTCATGACTGCTGCTGTCCTCCGCAGACCACAGGATGCTCCGGGCTTAGGGGGAATGACTCTGTCCTCCGCAGACCACCGGATGCTCTAGGCCTGTGGGGGAGTCATGACTACCACTGTCCTCTGCAGACCACAGGATGATCCAGACTGGGGGGAGAGGGGGAAGTCGTGACTACCACTGTCCTCCGCAGACCATAGGATGCTCTAGGCCTGGGGGGAATGACTGCTGCTGTCCTCCGCAGACCACAGGATCCTCCGGGCTTGGGGGAATGACTACCGCTGTCCTCCACAGGCCACAGGACGCTCTAGGCTTTGGGGGAGTCGTGACTGCGGCTGTCCTCCGCAGACCACAGGATGCTCCAGGCTTGTGGGAATGACTACCGCTATCCTCTGCAGACCACAGGACGCTCAGGGCTTGTGGAGTTGGGGGGTGACTACTGCCATCCTTCACAGACCACAGGACATTCGGGGCTTGTGGGATGACTACTGCTGTCCTCCATAGACCACAGGACACTTGGGGCTTGCAGGGTTGGGGGTGACTACCGCCATTCTCTGCAAACTGCAGGACACTCAGTGCTGGCGAGGAGTTTGCCCCCACTGTCCCATGGAGACCACGGGACACGGCAGAGCTGGGAGGGGTGAGCACGGCTGTTCTCTGCATTCCACGGGATGCTGCAGGCTTTGAGGGGGCGAGGGGCCACTGTCCTACGCAGACTACAGGATGCTGTGGGGCTCAGGGGGAAAATGGTGAGAAGCAGGCCCAGCAATACAGGATCAATTCCCACAGGGTACAGAAAATCCACAGAACGGGGCTGACTCATCAGCAAGGGGCCAGAGAGGTGGTGGCTACAGCGCTTCAGGCCCTACAGAAGTCCAGAGGAAGCTGGGGACCAGGCAGCAAATGGGACCCCGGAGCCCTTGCGTACCCACCACCCTGGGCTGCCTCCACAGGGACCATGGACACAAGGGCTCCAGGCCACTGCGGCTGACCCAGGCCCTCATGCCAGGTGCAGGGAGCATGTATGCAAGGGGGTGTCTGTTCCCCGGTCCTCAGCTCCTACTCTGCTCCTTCAGCCTGGCTTTATCAAGACACGGTGGGTGCGTCCACACAGCCATCACCAGCAGCCTGTGGCCCTGCTGCGGTGGCAAGCCCCTGTACTCCGCCTCCGTGGAAGCATTAGGAGCAGGACTCGCCGGTGGCTGGAAACACTGGTGCTGGCATTAGCCTGGGAGCCGGATGGGTTCAGCACTCACCCCAGCTAGAGCGAGTGGGGCCATGTACGGCAGTGAGGCCAGGCCACCGCCGTCACCAACCACGTCCTGTCCATCAGAGCCCACACCAACAGGGTGCAGAGCCAGCACAGGAACCCTGCTCAGGAGCACGGGCCTCCGCAGTGCAGTCTCCACGGTCCAAGACTGCCCGCCCACCTGCCTGCCTCCCAGAACTGAACTTGACCCTGATGCTCAGATACAACGGTCCAACCAGAGCGCACCACTGTCGTCAGGAGCATGCGGAGATGCCACACCATCAGGGCTCCTTGGTCTCCACCCCACAGCCCCCAGTGTGCAGGCCAGGGCTCGTGCCTGCCTTGGAGCATTTCTGAGGAGCCCTGGAACAGCAGAAGGATGGGGCCAGGGATACTGCAAGC